TTTTCTATTCCATTGCATCTCTGCTTTGAGAGTTTGGATGATTAACGGCGAATCTGAAAGCCAAAATGTACATATCGTTTGGAGCGTGACTGATAATTCTTATCCATTCCTTGATTTCTACTTCAACTTCGCCCGCATGGCAGCGGCAACTTCGCCGCTGATGGTTTTGCGAGCTGCGTGATTCAAAGGAGTCAGAAAGCTGCATTTGGTGGTCATTAATACGAGAAAAATCAATATTTACTGCTCTTTAAACGTGTTCCTTTCTCTTGTTAGGGCGTGTTTCAGATGGGAACTCGATTCCTTTGCGTTGTGAGTCGCGTCGGCGGCCAGGCGCTAAGGAAGAGTGCGCTGTGAGGCGAAAAACAGCGAAGCATCGGCATTGCCTTGGGCCTCGTTTCAGGCGAGGCTTGATTAGGAGGGCGAACGTGGGGTGGCGGTGCTGGAACGAATCGTCTCGCGAGAGCCACAAAATGACCAGGCGTTGTGTTGTGTGTTGGCAGGCAAAGGCGTCGTGGGCAAGGAAGCGGGTCCCGACGACAAGAAGGAGGAAGGCGAGCTGTGGTGCAGCGTCGAGGCGCAGGCCGCCTTCTTGGGGCCCAACCTCTGGGACAAGACGCTTCCTTACGATGCTGACCTTAAGGTACGTGTCACTCGCTGCGCACAGCGGCGACCCGGGCAGGGATATTTAATGGAGGTAAATTGTGCACTTTTGTGATTAAATTGGACCATGGATAGTTGGTTTAGTTTGAAATATTTATCACGAATCTGAAAGGACGGGACAATTTCATTCGATACAGAGTTTTCGTTGTATGGGAAGAGTTGTTTTTAATGAATGGGTTACGCGGTAAATCAACCACAGTAGTAAAGTATACGCTAAATCGAGTTTTTCGTTATAAAGAATTTAAACTGTTATATAAAAGGAAACAAATATGAACATTGGGTAACTCGGTGTTTGAATGGAGATTATACACGATGGCCAACCTACTACATGATTTGTAGTACTGCAATCGCGGACGGTAACCCGAAGGGGGAGTGTCCAGAGGCCCAGCCCTTGGGGCAGCCGTCGCTGCACCTCTGCTTCTTGTGCACGGAGCAGACTGCATCAATATCATTATCTTTCCGGCCTAATAATTTTATTTATTAAGTATCACTGGTGTTAGAGAGAAAGATTCACATACGGGAAGTTGTAGACATGTACACATAATCCGGCGTTCCACTGGAAAAGGGCGATGCTGGTGTCCTCTGAAA